TGAAAAGAAATTGTGGGATTGCATCTGGGGGAAGGATGTGAGGCACTATTGCTTCAAAGTTTGTTTGGGTCATTAAGGCTGGGAAGTCCCAATAAGTTTGGGGAGACCTAGTGCTGTGTTTAGTTCTGAATGTTCTGGAGGTTAGGAAGTCCCCATAAGTTTGGGGAGACCTAGTGATGTGAAATTGCATGGAGAGTTAGGCCATTCTATAAGTTTAGGTGGTCTGGTTGCTCTGACTTGTGAGGGTTAATTGTGATTGGACTTTTCAGGAGCCAAGCACATTTTGTAAGTTCAGGTGGCTTGGTTGCCTTATCTACTTTGTGTTTCTATCAGTTTCTTTAGTTTCTGAACGAGGAGGTTTGAGCATGTTCCATAAGTTTGGGTGACTCAGCCTCTTCCTGCTTTGGCCTTGAGATAAATGAACCAGACTGAGGACCAAGACATGTTCCATAAGTTTGGGTGGTCTTGGTCCAATGCCTCGCACATGCTGGAACCCGAAGGTTATAATTTGGCTATACTTTATTACTATCTTATTTAATAACAGGCTAGTCAGACTATTCTATAAGTTTAGGTAGTCTGACTATAGCTTATCACAATCTGAAGAAAGTATAACTGAGAGTAACTTGGGCCGACTGAGCATTGTTTCTAAGACGAATGGCTCAGTCCTACGCCCGCTTTGAAGATTAAGTTCGGAGAGATATATACAATCTGGCTACTAAACAGTTCAGGGCGACTAGGATGGCCTAGTCATATGCTCAAAGAAGATAAAAGTTGTTGTGCCCGAAATGCTAATTTCAGTTTTGGACTCGTTACCCATGACATGAAACTAGGGGTCCCCGTTAACCAAATAAAAACCCTAATTTTCAGACCACTTGCCATGCCATTTATAAAAAAACAAAGGGTCATTTAAATCAAATTTGCCATCAATTCATAGAGTGGAGACCATATTAACCGACGAAAAAAAAAAAAAAAAAAAGATTTATAATAAAAAACATACAAAACAATATTTTCATGAAATTCGCAAATATTTTAATTTTAGAAATCTTGAAAATTTTCAGAAATCTTAACAGAGGAAATTTCAATTCTCCAAATGAAATAAAATTTGACACACAGTAACAGAGGAAATTTCAATTTTCGAAATGACACAAAATTTGACATACAACAACCTTGAACCAAACAAAAACAGACAATTTTTTTTTTTCTTCAAAATAATTTCAGCTTTGGACTCGTTACCCAGGGTCTGAAATTGAGGGTCCTCGATAACCATTTGTGACTATATGTTGCGATACTCTTATCTACTTTACTCCACTCCCCTCCGCTCTACTTTTCTCTATTCTACTCTAGTACACTCGACTCTACTCGACTTTACTCGACTCGACGCTACTCTACTCTACACTACACTACTTTACTCTACTTTGTCTTACTCTTTCTTACTCCACTCTCCGATATGCTACTACTTTACAATACTTTATGTTACAATACTCTAATCTACTCAAGTTTTCTTTGCTCTACTCTACTCTACTCTTTCCTATTTTACTCTATTCTACTCGATTCTACTTTACTGTACTCTATCACTGTACTCTACTCCAGGATACTCTACTCTATGATACTTTATGTTTCCTTATTCATCTCAAGTCTACTCTTGTCTACTCTTCTCTTCCCTACTGTACTCTACTTTACTTTACTCTACAATAATCTACCCTTCCCTACTTTTCTCGACTCTACTTTTTTTCACTTCTCTCTTCCATAAGCTTCTCTTCTCTACTCTACACTTCCTTGCTCTGCTCTGTTCTGCTATGGTCCACTCTACTCTACTCTACACTTCCCTACTCTACTCCACTCTACCCTACTCCACTCCACTCTACTCTACTTTACTTTACTCTCCTCCACTCCTCTCTGCTCCACTCCACTGTTTTACACACTACTCTACTTCATTCCACGCCACGCCACTCCACTCCACTCCAATTTGCTCAGCTCCACTCTCCTCCACTCCATTCCACTCCACTCCACTCTACTTCACTATACTCTCCTCGACTCAACGTTACTCCACACTTCATTCTACTTCACTTTACTCCATTCGACTCGACTATATTCCACTAGACTCCACTCCACACCACTCTGTTCGACTCTTCTCCCGCTACTTCACTTCACTCTCCTCCATTCCATGTTACTCCACTCCACTCCATTCTACTCGAGTCCACTTCACTCCATTCGACTCAACGATATTCTACTAGACTCTACTCCACACCACTCCACTACTCTACTCTACTCGACTCTTCTCCACCCGATTCTCCTCTACTCTACACCACTATACTCAACTCTACTATACTCTCAACTCTACTATACTTTGCTTTACTATACTTTATTATAATCTAAACTACTTTGCTCTATTAGAGTCAGGTTGATCTCGTTTTGAGTATCGCTTTAATTTGTTTTAGAGCATAGGTCCATTTGAGGTACGCCCATCTTCTCTACTCTACTCCACTCGACTCTATTCTACTCGACTCGACGCGAATTCTATTGTACTTTATGCTACACTACTATAAGCTACGCTACTCTACTCTACTCTACTCTACTCTACTCTTTCCTATTTTACTCTACTGTACTTTTTTCTATTTTACTGTACTCTACTCGATTCGACTTTACTTTACTCTAACCTACTCTACTCTACTCTAGGATACTGTATTGTTTACTCTATGATACTTTATGCTTCCCTACTCTTCTCCACTCTACTATTTTCTACTCTTCTTTTTCCTAAGTTTTTCTTCCCTACTCTACTCTACTCTAGGATACTCTACTTTACTCTACAATACTCTATGCTGCCCTACTCTTTTCGACTCTACTTTTTTTCTCTTTTCTCTTCCCTACTCTTCTTTACTTTACGCTCCCTGCTCTGCTCTACTCTACTTTATGCTTCCCTACTCCACTCTACTATATTATACTCCACTGTACTCCATTGTACTCCACTCTACTTTACTATACTCTCCTCCACTCCTCTTTGCTCCACTCCCAATAATTATCTGTCTGATCTGGACAAAACGACCTTTCAAACCTTTTCTATTGTCATTATAGTATTACAGGGAACCCTGCAGCAACCACATCTGTGTTCAAGCCTCCAACAAGGGAACATGCAGAAGGTGCACCCTCCAGCAGGAGCGACACCTGCTACAGCAGGTTGACGATACCGTGCAGGGATTAGCCTGTAGCATTGCTAGTGAAACCGAGCTTCTTCGACGGGTCGTTTGTTGTGCCTCTCCTGTGGTCCCCTGCCCCTACGAACATCAACAACCTCTGCTCAATGCCGCACGGGGGGCCCAACGACCTATCTCTAGGTGGCGGGCACCAAGTTTGCTCAAGAAGGTACATGAGGCCAATGGGGATTGAACCCAAGACCTCTTATATGTCACTGCCTTACCAACTAGTCCGCTAAATCTCCATATACTTTTGGGGTAAGTAGTGTTCCATTGGAAAAAAAGAAAAAAGTAAGCAGTGTGACTACACACAGTTCCTGTGAGATGCAAGTGTCAGGGCCGCAACTCTGTTCTTTATGGACACAGAAGGCCGGTGTGACCACCCAAAGGCACAAATACATGGAACCATCGTTCCAAAAAGCTACGGTAGGGTGGGACAGTCACGCGTGGGCGCTGCGGCTGGCGATTGCACCCAGTCTCAACGCCGTTTATGGTTGGGTGAGCCTGTTCAGCGGTTGGGACCTTCAACGCGAAAGTGTATATCCATCCCTTCGTGGTGACGAAGGGCTATGGTTGTTGTGTAGCCATAGCTGGCGATATCGACGAACAGTTTTTGTCACCGATCGTCCTTCCTCTGCCCGTCTACGATAGTCGTTGCTTTTTCGTGGTAGCTGAAGCATGTGTTTGTCATGGTTGTGAAGTTTCGGTTAGAAACTGACATCTCATTAGGGCTAGTATGGAGCCAAAAGGTACTCCTCATGGGGAAAGGGATTTGAGATCCCAAGTACCCAACGACTATCAGCTGGAAAGATAGAGTAAGAGAAATGATTAAAGGGATTTGAGATCCCAAGTACCCAGCGACTATCGGTTGGAAAGATAGAATAAGAGAAATGATTAGAGCATGCTTTGTCGTGGCTGTGAAGCTTCTGTTTAGAAACCCTGACTGAGGCGTTTACCTCACCTGTAAGCTTAAGCCGGATGATGCTTCAACAATGTTTCTGCGACTAATGTAGGGGTTCCCCTGTACAAATGATTAGCTCAGTGGCATTTCGCATATTGGTTAGGCACACAAGTGGCACTCAGGAGGTCGTGGGTTCAATCCCCATGCCCGCATGCGTGATTCCTGGTGCCAACCAACTGAGATAGTCAGCTGGATACTCGTAGTCGATTAGCAGGGTTTTCAGCCAAGACAGGTGCGAGTGCGAGTGTGAGTGGGTTGCATGTGGTGTGGGGGAGAGTGTTGGCCTTAGACACTGCTGTTACTGGATGGGGTTGGGGTAAGACGAAAAGGGAGGTGCAGCAGCTGCAGCTACTGGCAACTGCTTGGTCCTTGTGTTGGCAGGGGCCCCCACGGGTGGCCCCAACCCTGCACCCTAAACCACTACGGCAAGGGGCACAAATGCAATTACCTCCCCCCACCGGGTGAGGCAAACGAGAGGTAGATAGCTATGCTTGTAGGGGTCATGAAAGTATGAAAGAACTTGAGAGAGAAAAAAGGGGACAATTTTCGAAATGCCCCTCGACTTCCATTTATTTGCTGTATCCCCCTAGGGTATCTGAAGTCCTGCAGGCCCCTGTCAGTGAGGGGTGCAACTTTCCCGCATACCCCTGTGGCTGTTGGTGGCACTGGCTGCCGTTCCCCTACCAGTAGCCGGGGGAGGGGAGCTACTGCGGCATACTGGAAATTTGAAACCTACCTGGTAGGGGAACATTGAACATATTTCAGGCCCCGAATGATGGCAGGGGTATTTCGGAAACATCAATAGTTGTCAGAGCGGCGAGACAGGGTAAGTCTACCGAGGGGCATACCGCAAATAAATGAAAGTGGGAGGGGCATTTCGAAAATTTTCGCAAACACAAAAACGAGAACTGTAAGCGTTCCTGACCGTTGTAACTACGGGGTTCCCTGTAAACGCTTCATACCGGTAAGTGGAATTACCCCTTCTCCCTCCCCCCCATCCTCAAGGTATATACAGGTATCGATAGATGAGGGGTTGTGAAAAGCTGTGTTCTTGCACACGAAAAGAGGACCCCGCAAGTCAAAGTCCTTCCGTAACCTTGAAGCGGCGTTTTCGTTTTTTTTTATAATTTTATATATATATATGACGATATATATACGATATATATATATTTTTTTACTTAATTTTTTTAAACGGCGTTTTCGTTGTAGTTACGGTAATTCAAAAAGGGAGCACGGAAAGACAGGTGTCACTCGTAGGTCCTTCCCACAACGTCTAGGCGTCGCCATGGCCATGACCATGTTTATCATAACAGGACCTTCTACGCTTTCTTCTTCATCTTCTTGCACTTGCAAAAGAAATGAAACGAAATGGGGATTCCTTTACACTGTTTCTTCTTCTTGTTCTTGTTCGTCCGCCTTCCTCTTCCTCTCTTTTTCTCTGTCCCTCTCCTCCTCCTCGTTGTCGGTCGGTGTCGTCGTCGTCCTACTGCTCTTCGCCTTCCTCCTCGTGCTCCTCTGCCTGTTTCTACTTCCTCCGACTCTTTTGTTTTTCGTTTTGTCGATGCTTGTACGAGAAGCAGTCTATGACCACTGTTTTCACTCTTCTTCTTCTTCTTCTTCTGCTTCTTGTCCTTCTTCTTCTTCTTCTTCTTCTCTGCACGTGTCAGAGACTTGTGCATGCGGATTTGTTTGGAAAAGCTTGAGATGCATGTACGAAACACGTGTTTGGCCTCCGTTGTCGCTGTTATTCTTCTTTGCTTTCATTGTTGTTGTTCCAAATCTCAAAAACTCGGAGAGGAAACTTTGCTTCTGCTGCATTGTTCTATCGTTTGTTTTTTTTTTTTTTTCAAAACGGCGATGGTCTTGGGATATCTTCATTGATCGGACCGGCAATTCAGAATGATTTATTCAATTCATCAACGTCCAACAGGATTTGAACTCAGGTCTGTATTTCAAAGGTTCATGGGTGTACCGACTGAGCTAGGCTCGTTGGTATCGTTTTTTTTTCCCAATTTGTTCATCCGTCTCTTGTAGGTCACCCAGCGATCTACGAAGGCTGCTCGAGCAGACGCCTCCATGATCCCCTCCCTTAGCCAATCTGAATACGCACGCGCGCGCGGCCACACATATGCACACACAAGCAAAGCACGATAAGGGCAAAAGTATGGTTGTATCTATGGGACGCTGGACCCGGTTTCCAGCAGGTGTTGCTCCCCACCAGTAGATGGAAGCCTTGTCTGGTTAAAAAAAAACAAAACAAAAAAAACAAACAAACAAACAAACGATAAGGGCAAATTCTAACCTCGTGGGGATCTGTATGAATCGCCCTCGGAGTGGTCGACCCACCGCCTGCCGCGTGTGTTGACGATCATCTTCTCTCTCTCTCTCTCTCTCTCTCTCTCTCTCTCTCTCTCTCTCTCTCTCTCTCTCTCTCTCTCTTAGTGCTCTCCTCTCTCCTAGTTCTCTTCCTGGGCTCATCTGTCAGTCTGCCTGCCTGCCTCCTTGTCTCTCTCTGTGTCTGTCTTCTGCTCTCTCCCTTTCTCTCTCTCTCTCTCTCTCTCTCTCTCTCTCTCTCTCTCTCTCTCTCTCTCTCTCTCTCTCTCCCTCCCTCCCTCCCTCCCTCCCTCTCTCCGTCTCTCTCTCTCCCCCTCTGCCTACAAATACACGCTCAGCTTAGCCATCCATCTCACAGTGCTCTTGTTTCTTTCTCTCTTTCTTCCGCTGTGAACCAGCTGTATCCTGGAGATGTTCGCTGGTCGAGGGTACGCGTGATGGCCTTCGGTACGTGGGAGTGAATGCCGCGAATATGCTCGTTGTTCGGATCCAGAACTGGCCCTAAGATTCGGCCCTTCCTGATACACTTGCTGCGCTCTGTTTTATCCTTGTTCAAACTCTTTAAGGCTGCCGGCTCCGATCTCGGAGGCTTTCTCTCTCCCATTCTTCCCCTCTCTCTCACCTAGTTTTCCTCTCTTCCTCTCTCTTCCTCTCTTCCTCTCTTTCTCCCTCCTGCTGTCTCTCTTCCTCTCTCTCTCCCTCTCTTCTTCTCTTTCTCTCTCTGTCCCTCTCTTCCCCTCTTCCTCTTCCTCTCCACCTTATTGTCCCTCCAACTCTTCCTTTCTTTCTCTCTCCTTCCCCTCTCTTCCTCTTTCTGTCCCACTCTTCTTTTTTCTGCCTCCTCTTCTTCCTCTCGTCCTCTCTTGGTCAAGTCGGCTTTGGCCTTCCGTTCTCTCCCGCCTTTGCCGGCTTGTTTCTGCTCTGTGAGAGAATCATTGTTGCCGAACATCCTCCTCCTCCTCCTCCTTCTCCTCCTCCTCCTCCTCCACGTCCACCTTCTCCTGTTCCTCTTTC